CTCTGTGCCACTGACCACAACCCTCTGAGCTCTTCCATCCAGCCAGTTCTCAAGCCACCTCACTGTCCACTCATCTAGCCCACACTTCCTGAGTTTACTTACAAGGATGTGATGGGAGACAGTGTCAAAAGCCTTGCTGAAGTCCAGAAAGACAACATCCACTGCTCTCCCCTCATCTACCCAGCCAGTCATTCCGTCAGAGAAGGCTATCAGATTGGTCAAGCATGATTTCCCTTGGGTGAATCCATGCTGACTACTCCTGATCACCTTCTTGTCCTCCACATGCTTAGTGATGACCTCCAGGATGAGCTGTTCCATCACCTTGCCAGGGATGGAGGTGAGGCTGACAGGCCTGTAGTTTCCTGGCTCCTCCTTCTTGCCCTTTTGGAAGACTGGGGTGACATTGGCTTTCTTCCAGTCCTCAGGCACCTCCCCTATCTCCAGGCCTTTCCAAGGTGGTGGAGAGTGGCCTAGCGATAACATCCGCCAGCTCCCTCAGCACTCGTGGGTGCATCCCGTCAGGGCCCATGGATTTGTGGATGTCAGGTTTGCACAAATGATCCCTAACCCAATCCTCCTCGACCAAGGGAGAGTCTTCCTTTCTCCAGACTTCCTCTCTTGTCCCCAGGGTCTGGAATTCCCGAGGGCTGGCCTTAAGCAGTGAACACTGAAGCAAGAGAAAAAGAGAGCAACAGCCTCTTCAGCTGCTACACACTCTAGACTTCTGTTACTTGCTGCTTGCATTAGCGTCCTATCCCCGGTGCGCTGTCAGCATCCAAGTGTTACCACTGCCTCCTTAGCCACGTATCTTCTGCCTGTTCCTCCACCCTCTCATTTACTGTGCTGTTCCTGCTGCTCTTCCTTCTGTTGCATGAGTTACTGCACTGCCATCTCGAATCTGCTGCTGAGCCCACTTGCTCCTTCAGTATTGCTCATGTCACTGGGATGAAGATAGTAGTTGAAGGAGTGGGCTGACTGAGGGACACAAAGGTATGTGAGATAAGAGGAGGAGGTAATGACAGTGAGGTCTGCTTCCAAAAAAATAAAGTAATCCGTGCAGTTCCTGTCTCACTACGTGCTTGAAAGTTTGTAGGAATGAGGTAAGAAACTGCTGTCATATTTGAATGCTACTCTGGAGAATTGGGAGTCTGTCTCTACCTATCCAAGGAATTCTCACTGATTACCAAGTAAACTGAACATGGTTATTCCAAGATAGACTCCAATTGTGCACTTTTCTTTCCTTGATACACACATTGCAATGCTGTACTTGAATATATAAAAACCTACGTAATATCCAGATGATTTTTAAAACAGATCATAAGAACCTTTGGTCAGGCAGCTTAAGTTAGTGGATGCTTTAATCTCTTAACTGTAAAACAGGGATAATTTTCTGTGTACAGATGCTGAAGTATCTGAAAGCTTTTAAAAACTCAAACCATTTTTGATAGAAGATGTCAATTTTCTGTAGTACCACATAGGGGGATTCTACCAGAATGTACTTTTCAAAGATCTGTATTTGATTACAGTATCAATACAATGCAGAGATTCTATTATCAAGATTATTTTTCAAAGTTACATTAGCTCAAAAAGGAAGATGAAAAGTCTAGTTCAGCATCATTCCATCACATAGAATTTTCAGAGACAGATTTAGTTTTGACTGCTAGCAAAGGGAGGGCATAAGTGTGTGTGACAAGGTTATGAATACTGAAGAAAGTATTACTTACAGTCATTCCCTTTACAGCACTCCATTGTATTTTGTTATTAGTGGCATTATACTTCCCTCTTTGGTGTTTATTTCTACCATTGACTAAATCTCAAGCTTATTACTATATTAACAAAGATTTTGTGTGTGAATGTAGTAGTTTTTTCTTAGCCCAGCTACCTTATTTTATTCTGAAATAGTGATTTCTGTCTAAACAAATGCAGTGAACTGTGTTATTTCAGCAGACTAATTCTAACAACTAATGCTTGAACATGGTTGCTGTGAGCAATAGGCTTATATGAATTCAGGAAGACATTGGAAGCTTGATCTGTTACCTTTTAGGAAGCAGGACCAAAATAATAAAGTAGGAACTTCGTACAACTGCTAACATTGAATAACTTTTTTTTTTAACTAATTCCATTCTGATTTTAAGAAAGTAATTAAACTGTATCTGTTTAAAGCTTAAAACTGAGACTTGGGAGATATGGGTTCCATTTCCGATATAGTCTTAATTTGCGTGTGGCGAGGTAGTTATTGTCTGTGCCTCACTTGATCCTGAATTAAAATCAGACACTAAGTTGATGACAGGGGAATTTTAAGTTTTATTCATTAGTGCTTATAAAGCGCTTTGAAATCGTTGATGGAAGAAATTAGTATCTGAAAACTATTTGCATTCTATTTTAAAATACTGAAACTACTGCTTAATTTTTTAAAATTGCTATGAAAAGAACCCTTCATTTTCTCCCTGTTTAGTTTAGATATAGAGTGGCTATGGTATACGCTCCCTATGAAGCTACACAAAATGAAATGAACAGTTAGCAAACTAGAGGGTCAATAACTTGTGTTTTGTTTTTCCTCTCTGTGTTGCTTTCAGAAAGTTCTTGTTGACTTTGTAGTTATTTCTTTTAGGAGCTATAAGGCAGTTCAGAGCTTCTGAATGACATTCCTTTCTTAGTACTGCTGATTTTGGAGACAGTAATGTCAATAATAACTGGCCATTTCCTGGAGCAATGTAGGGTGATATCAGAACAATAAACATCTCATTTACAAGCAGATGAGTATCTCTGTACATGGCAGAACTGGATAGACTGATCTTATTAGCACGAGATCTATTTGAGAAATTCAGGAAAGAAAATGTAGTGGGTTTGGCATCAAGCTGGATATAAATCTAAAACTCAAGTAACAGTCTGAGAACTTGGCCAACATGTATGATTTTTAGAGAGCTGAATTAGTTTCAAGACCATCCTTCTCCTTTGCTCCCTAAAAAATTCTTATTTTTTGGAAACTACCAGCTCTAGTCTCTCCCTCTTTTCTCTGGCCTAAGGCTCCAGTATCCTGAAAGCGACTTTTTCTCCAGCTTCCTAGGATCTTCATAGGAACTGGTCCCCACTCTCACAGTACCTACCTGGATATGGCTTTTGGGTTTTTGTTCTTTTTATTTTTTCATATGTGCCATGCCGAACAGACACATGCAGAATGTAGTAGTCCTGTCAGCCTGAAACAGAGATTCAAGAAAGTATTTTTTCATGATAGCATTATGATACTAGCTCTGAAACTAGACTATTCTTGCTCCTTTCCACAGCTTCTCTAGTTGACTGTGGTGCTATTTGGGCCTGAAGTTCAGGGCTGGGTATGTAGCATAGGCTGGATCCCAAAGAGCTTTTGAGTGAGACTGTCAGTTGTGTTGGCTTCTATCCTCCATGAAACTACATAGATAATAAGCATTTGTGAACAGCCTGGGTAGAAGAAGGTAGAGAAAATAATCTGTCCCTGAAGACAGTAAACTCAGGAAGGCCACTTACCGCTTCTTTATGGGAATTCTTGCAGTAAACATTGGATCTGTTAGTATTAGAAGAGGTTTGGATTTATAGAAGGCAAGTTGGGTATGAACCCACTAGTTACACTGGAAACTAGACAATTATATAAGACTTGAAAATGCTTTCAGTTTTTACTTTTTTTGATCCCAGAACTACAGAGTAGTCTGGAGTGATTTGAACCACTTTTGAATGAATCTTGCAGGGTTATATTAGTTGAGAGAAATAGGCAGGTTTCATATTGTGTTTTTAAAACTATGCAATAAAATGGCTTTTTATTCTTCTCTATTTACTCATTCAGTAGCAGAAATAGCTTAATTCAACACAGAGCGTGTATATTTTAAGCTTATTTCAAGCAGATTCATAGCCTCTTGTTTTTACCCACACCTGAAAACTGTCTTTTATTTGCAAGTAGCATTCTTTTTTTCAAAGCAGGGGTACTGTTTCCTTGTTTTTAACCGCATAGGAGTTAACATTTTATGGCTGATAGACATTCTTTTTCAAACGAGGTATATTCTCTCCTTATTCAGGAAGCTGGTGGGTTTTCGATGTACATGTGTTGGCCCCATTGTCTGTCTTCTTTTTACCTTCCTGCTTTTTTTTTTTTTAATTTCTTTTACAGATGTCACCAGTCATCAGTAAGTCAGGGGACCTGAAATTTATCTCAGAGCATGACACAGATACAGACTCACCTGCAACACAGTAAGCAAGACATATTTAAAACGATTTGCAGTGTTATTTCTACAACTGCTGTTAGGAAACTGCGAGAAACATTGGAGGGCTTATTTTGTTTTAGCAGGCAGAACAAGAAACTAGCCTCAGGATAATCATTCAAAGAGTGTGTGTGACACACAACATGTGAAGGAAATAATGGTTTATATATGTGCACATACACACACATACAAACACATGCATGCGTGCATGCACACAAACACACTCACACTCTCCCCCCAAAGAGTGAGGACTGTGGTGTACAAGTGAATCAAAGGTATAATCTAGAGATACAGGATTGCCCTTGAGGCATCCCTTAGTTGTGTGTGAGCCCTTATTGCTACCACCGGCAAACTACTTTTGTACTTTGTAAAAATTAATTAATGTAAATTGAAAAAGCTTGTCACATACAGAGAAGATGAGCAAGCTAGTATCTTTGATTGTGATGCTTGTATTTATAAAAATTTGTGTATATTCATTGTGTGATTGTTGGAGGCAGATAATATCTCAGTGTTTTGAGCATGAGCTTCCATGACATCTTTAACTTAGTGCAACCATTTATATTTGAAAAATACATGTGAAAATACTTCTTTTGTTTGCCATTACAGGCATCTGTCATCTAAACAGTTATTTCACTGATCATTTTCCAGACCGGCCCGCTCTTCAGATAATCTGCACTTATATAGTATAGATGCAGATAGATACCTAGTTTCAACTGTTCTTTAAATCGTAATTTTCTGTCTCTAGCTGTATCTAGATTTGAAAATAAATTGTGAGTGGAAAGTTTAACGCACATGTTTGAGGAGGAAGGGACTGTAAACTACACCCTGACAGAATTCAGGGTTGAAGTATTCTAACAGGACTTACATTAAGGAAGGAAATGCCTTTTGGTGGAGTTACTGTCACAGTTGATAGTCTGTCAAAAGGCAGGATCCAAAATTTGATATGATTCAGCTGTGTTAGTAGAACTTCAGCAAACAATTATTTTGAGTGACCCTTCCAGGGTATGCACTGAAGAATATGGGACCACAGATTTAAAACTTGGAATTAGAAAGAATTTAATCAAATTCAGGAGTTTTGAGTGATATGAAATATGAAATATTCATTTTGATGGAAACTAACCTGAGATCAGGTAACACTAGAGTGTTATGCTGAAGAAGCAGAGGCCAAAAACCTTTTCAGTTGCAAGATGAAAAAAGACACCTGGAATGTACTCTCTCCTCCTGAGCAGTAGGGAGTGGGAGCATCATGGAGAGGCCTGTCTAACCATGAAAGCCATGTTTAATGTCACTGCTATACTGTATGGGCAAACAGCAGCATTGCAAAGCCTCATTCTCAAGCTTTTGGGGTACCAAGCCATTTACACCTGATCATTAGTGAGGGAGAGTCAAAGGCAGTGTCTGATGCAGTGGTGTACTGTCTGATGCTATACCTCGTCAGGAGAGAACTAACTTGAAATGGAGAAAGATAAGCATGTCAGTACTATGCGGTGCTGTTTCTGCTATGGCTATGGTCTACGTTCCAGATTTTATTACATTTTTACTGCTTTATTTTTTTTCCCCCTCTGTGGTTTTGTTTGTCTGTCTGTGGAAAGGACTGCTTTCACTGAATTTTTAAGATCAGAATGCAAATATGAGTAAGGCCTATTCCTGATCTAAAGCTTGAATCTGAAAGCATATGCTTTTTGAGCTCTTCCATGATCTAGAACACAATGAAATGGGATCCATATGTCTTTGTTATTATAACAGTGACTGCACATATGAAGTTATTTCAGAGGAGACCACAAGGTTTTGCCTTATTCAGAGAGCTGGAAGAGAAAAGGATCTTCTTGCATTTCTAATGCCCCTGGTTTGAAAAGACTGCTCAGTGTTTCTGTTTACAAGTTATCTGCGTAGTACAGATTACATGGTAAAACATTTCAGAAAAATGCCTGCAGATGCATCATTACGTCTGTCACTTCTTTTTATCTGAAACCTTTTCTTGTTCCCTGCAATTAGTATGTCTTGAAATATCCTTGAAAACAATGCACTTGCAAATATTAGGATCTTAACTGGAAAAGGTTTCTATTTTAGCATCCAATAGCAACAGTACAAGACTTGAGATGCAGTCCAATCTGTACTTAAATACTTGCTTCACCTAAAACTTTCTGTTTTCTTCCTATTTTCTGTGAAAATACACTCAATATCCATGTCACGTGCTAATTAGTAATAGGAATTATGGAGTAAATAAATTTTTGAAGAATCAAGTGAGATGTAATTGCAAAGTACACAGTTTCACTATGGAGAAGTGAAATTGTTTTAGCACCTGCACAACGCATTGTACCTTTCTTTGAGCCTGAAGATGAATGGTTGCTCTTTTGCCTATTTGAACAGTATTCATTATGGCTGTAACATTTCCTGCACAAGAAAGTGAATTGCAAGCCCTTACGGCATATGCACCCTTCAGAAGAGTTGATCTATCTTTTCCAGATTTTAGAAGAAATAGAGAAATGTCCAGGTGATGGATGCTAAGTGAACGAAGGTTTTTATCTAAGGAGGCTCAAAGTTTTTATAAGTCGCCACATCTGATACTCAAAATAATAAAAAGATGAGAATTACTTCTCAAACTTTGAGTAGGTGAGGTTTTATACTGTAAACCTGCATGCTGGCCTCACCCTTCTAGTATTAGTGGTTAGATGCCATTTGTCAGTATAGACATGGTCTCCTCAGGTATATTCCAATTGAACAGTTTTGTTGAGCTACGATAGGTAGAGCTCTCTCCATAGATTTACAATTGATTATGCACTAGGCCCACTTGAATGCTTAGTTTGGTAGAATGGTACTTAAATTACTGTTTAATTATGATTCTGTGCCCCGGTTTCCTCAGGCAGCAGTACTTCTCAAATGATTCTAGGAATCCTAAAGCAAAGGGTCTTGAACTCTAGAACCTTTTCCTTCAGGATGTTCCACTGTTAGAACTGCAGCAATTTACATATTTCAAGAACACACAATTTAGGTTAAAAAGAATGAAACTATAGGTAGATAGCCATAATTCCATTAGCAACACTGATGCGTAAAGGGTTTCATTTACAAAATGTTATTACATTAGGACAACATCACCAACAGTAATTACTGCTTTTGCATCAACATTTTTGGGGTAACTGCACACACCTCATTACTATCTTTAGTCTTAATTCATCCACTGGTTTACATATGTTTCAGCAGCATCTAACAGTTCCAGTCACAAACCAAAACCTGTTTGTGCTAAGGGCAGCACATATTTTGAACAAAGACAGTACCTGCTCTCTGAAGATTACACTCTAAGTACTATTACTTATTCGTAGTTAAATAAAGTTACAACTTCTGCCAAGAGTGAGAATTCATGGTAAAAGTGGCGTAAACTGTGTGTAAGCTATGTGTTATCCCTGGCATCAGCAGCAAGACCAGTCTAATCCCATTTTTAAATGGCACTAACTGGGAAAGATACAGGAGGATATGGGCTAGATTGATACTTCTGGCGTTGTATGAATTGACATTAAAGTGACTTCTGATTCATAAGCGTATCCTAGTTCAGGTAAATTAAAATGGGCAGACTAAATTTTTGCACTTTATGTCCCTGACTTTCCTGCAGTAGCTGAATAAATAAACTCGAAATTTTTCTTCTATTGCAAATATGTTGGCATTGGAGCTTAGGAAAATAAAAAAAAAAAGTTGTGCAATGACTTTTATGAGAGGAGGAAGTTGGTAATTTTTAGTTATATCTGTTGATTATTGTTCAGTGCTCTAGCTGATTTTTAAGAACATGGGCAGTTCTTTTCAAAGCAGTGCTAGGACATGCACTGAAAGGCAGACCGATGGATTTGGAATGGTCTCCCGTATTTTGTCCTCATGTTTTTTCGGGTTTTGTTCTGCAGTGGAACAGTAACTTTTATAGCTGTTTCAGCATTGTACTCAAGGGAGACAGGCAAGCAATTGTTTTAATATGCCAGATGTGATGGAAAAAGCTCTAAATTTGAGTTAACTTTATGTGTTTCTTTTACTCTTTTTATTTCCACCTTTCTCTAGAGGTGCAAAGAAAAAGAAGAAAAGGATACAGAAAAATGAAACAGAAAATCAGCCCGACTTAATGGGTCTTGATACTCCTGTATCATCAATTACAGCTAACGGTGTTGAAAATGAACCTACAGCCCATGGAGTGGAATTGAAGAAGAAGAAAAGAGCAGGGAGAGGCTCAAACTCGAGCACAAATGGAAAGACAAATATTGCCTTTGAGCCTGAGAGCTATGATGTATAGTCATAATTTAATTCCAGACACTGGTGGACATTCCGTATATACAGAATAATGGATTTGAATCCTGCAATTATGATCTCGCTTCTAGGATTATCAAGAAAAAAAGACAACAAATTAAAATACGCAAATACAAAATGGCACCAGCTGTGACTTATCAAGGGTGCAAACCTGTTTCAGAATAATTCCCCCCTGCCCTCTGGTTTCCTTGAAATCAACAGAACTTGAATATTCAGCTCCTCGCTGGACTGGTAAAATCTGAAATGTACTTTGATATTTCCTGAGAACCCCACTGACAAATGCAATTTGAAAGAAATTAAGATCTGATTAGCCCCCTAACGTAGGCTAAACAGGCATTTCAGTAGACTTGAAATGAAGCTAAGAAGTGTGAAATCTGCAGACCAATCCATTGTGAGCAGAGAATTGAGTTGAAAAGTGTGATCTAAAATAAAACAAGCCTAGTCACGACAGAAGTTACTAAATTAGCAGCTCAAAATTTGTTGTCAATAACATAGAGCAGTGTTCCGAATAGTAACTTTCCAAAGGAATGCCAACATTACAGTGTACCTTAAAACTTAAGCTTTTAAAAAATATTTTCCTGACATGAAATATTCACTTGGACTGCATTTTGCAGCTGTTGAGCAAATCGTTGAGTAACTACCTATGCAACTAATCTGACTTCACTGGGACTCCTCAGGCTTACCAGTCTAAGTAAGTGTTACAAAGTCTAGCCATTTGTGTTTTCAGATGAGATTTTTATGCATATAATAAGTGTGCATTACAGTTTTGTTAGACTTTCTGGCTGCTTTGGCAGCAGTTTTGCCAAATACATTGTCTTTTGTCTGAATGAAATATTGTATATGCAACTGTGTTGTTTGTTTTACTTTATTGTGTAACCCTTATTCACTCGTGTGTGTCATTAATCTATTTTTAATTGAGTGTTATGTGGTGAACTTTTATTAATGACTTAATTATCTACAATTCTGAATAATTTACATTTTATATTAAATGAAACACTTTCTATCAGTTAGTGTTGGTATTTTTTCTGGCTGACGATGTCCAGTTTATTTTTACTCTGCTAGGAAATTCCTCCTCCCCCCTACTCTGAAGCAATAAATAACATAAAATTAGAAAGCCCTTATTTAGTAGACAGGGCACTTGATTCCATTAAAAAAAGAAGTGAGAATGACAATGTTGGGCACTGATGTGTGAAATGTACCCAGATGCAGAGGACTAGTTGCTATATATTGTAATACCTTCCCTGCACATGCTTTAAAGCCAGAAAAATTGGTAAACATGTTTCTTTTGAGTAAAATACAGTAGAAAATATTCTTTTTTGGCCGCATTGATAGTTGTTCCCTGCTAACAGTCCTAGTTCTGCTCTGTCCAGTGCCTGTCTGTGCCCTAAATGGAACTTAAACATATGTGCTGCCACATCCTTGTTTGTCTCCCTAGTCATACATGATATAAAATTGTATTAGTCCTTGGACTGCCTAATTGCAGAAAGGCTTCTAGCTTCTTCTCTCTCAGCTTTTGAAATATATTCTAACACATAATTCTGTGTGAAATACAGATTTTCCAAGGGAGAAAAATCTCAACATCTTAGGTTTTTTAAAATGTCCTGGGTCACATTTAAAATAAGGGCAGAGCATGACATCAAACTCCACGTCAGGCAGAGCTGAGCAGTAGCCAAGATCTGGAAGCTCATTGGGAAGCATTGTAAAATGTTAATTTGGCATTGTGGACACTGAAGACAGAAATAACACTTGAGATAAACACCACAGAGAGATGGTAGTTCTAATCAAAGACACAGCCACCTCCTTTCATGCTTGCGAACTAGGGCTCCAATTATGTTCACTGTCCTGAAGCTGAATAGAGCTGCTTTGCCACACTTTCCAAATTGAGAGGAGAGGCAGCAGTAGTGTCTTCCAAGGCACAGTTCCAAATAACAATTAAGCAGAAGAAATCAGATAAGAGCCCAGACATGAAAATGCATGGAGTTGAAAATAAACTTTTCATAATACTTTTTTTTGTAATTGCAGTAACTTTTGTTTTTATAATTTTTCCTCCCTCCCTCTTGGTTGGTTAGATTCTTCTAATGCTTTTTGCTGTTTCACTGCAGCATTAGAGCTTTCTGCATTTATTTAACAGAAAATGAAAAAAAATAGATTTCCATTTAAAGAAAAAACATTTCTAAGTGATTTTTCAATATTGAAATTAGAACCTCCAGACTAAAATTGCTTCTAATCAAATTACCACCAGGCATAATGTTTACCTTTTTTTTAGACGTATGGCTAATACGTTCATTTGAAGGAAAGCACTTTATTTTTCTCTTCAGTGTTAGTGGATTCTGACTATGCCTACCTACATTCAGTCTTCAGGCATTGCTGTTAGGATTCTAGACTTGCAAGAAAAAATAAAACTTTTGCACAGTTTGGAATAGAGTGATGGCTTAAAAAATAATTTTTGAGATTAACTTGATATAGTGCATCTTGTTTCTGTTTTTGTTAACGCAAATACTATACTTTTTAAGATCACTTTAAAATGTACATTGCCTACATCTCCTCAAAATTGTCCAAGTATTTGAAGGTGTTACATTTCAATTTAAGAAATTAATTCCAAAAGGATTCAGGTTACCTACTGAAAAAAGTCCTTCTTTTATATAATTAAAGAACTACATTAAGTATCCTAAAGCATGAATGCACTGCAAAGTTGCTCCTGAAGTCATGATTTGAAATGCCAGAATTATAAACACCTGTTTGAGGAGTTCTTACAGACTAAATTCAGTGCTGTTCACTGGTGATGCTATTTCAGTGCTGGAACATAGCAGGTAAAAATCTATATGCAAAAAGATTACATGCTAGATATTTTTAAGTGCCTGATGATAGCAAAGTACTATATCTGTCATTATTATGGGTTTTGGTGGGTTGGAGAGGTTGCGTGGTTGCAGCATGTAGCTCCTTCTATTACACATTTGTGATTTGGCAGAGACATCACGAGCAATGCACGAATTAAAAATTAAGATAGATAGAAAAGAAGGGGTGACACATTTTTTCCTTGTGTTTCCCAATAACTATCAAAATGCATTTAGTTTTCTTCCTTTGAACAATTTAAGGAACAGACATCATAAAACACAAGTACTGTATTTGTAGCATCACTTAATTCAGAAGGCAATAGGGAATGGATCACAGTCAGACAAGGGCTAATGAGAACACAGAGGAACATGACAACTGAAAGTCTCTGTTGACTAGTGAACTAAATCTGCCGGCTGGACCTGATTGTCTGAGGGAGAATTGAATGTCAGGATCATTTAGGGTTAACAATGGCCCATTACAAGCAAAAGCAGACAGCTATGAAAAATAGCTGGCATGGTAGCCATTCTGCAGGGACTGTGGATGCAAACTTGATAATGAGGCACTTCATTCACTACATCCTTCTGCTCTAGTTACTGAGGTGAATAGGAAATACTTCGTTTAAGGCGGGAACAGACTAAAGCAAAAATACTTGTTTGGTAAACACAAAGAGTGATGGAGTGTTTTACTGATCCTTTTCTGGCACATATGAAATTAGTATGTATGCACTACAGCCTGTTTTATGAATGTGGAAATTGGGGGGAAAAAAAAGAAGTACTTTCTGAATACTGAAGGAAGGCTGGCAAGATTCACGTACACATCTGTAGTGTTTTTTTTCCTTAGCATTCTGTCCAATGGCTCTCCAAAACGTTATGGAGAAGTTAATTTATGGATATGCACCTGCACTTGTGAAAACATATTGTATCAATTCAAGGGGGTTTATTGCTTGCAGTATAAAATATCTGCATTTGGAGCCAAACTGCTGCATGTAAGGAATAGAAACGAGAGGAGGTCTGAGAGAGGGAAATAAGCAACTTGAGAAAACTACTGTTGTTGGGGGAGACTTGCAAGAATGTGGCAATTAGAAATTGGAACTTAAGAAGAAGGAACAGAAGATAGTAGGAAAGCATGTTATAGCAAAGCTTTGGTGGCTTCAGTCATGTTTTTTGGACTTTAGAAATTAGATACTTAACCACTTCACCTTTTAACACATTAAGTTTTATGCCATTTACAGGAGCCTTTTGGATGAATTCTTAAAACCGATGAGGAAGATTCTCTTGTGTCTCTCCAGCAATTCATAACTTTTTGCACTTTCCTAACCCTGAGCTACAGTGCAGAAAGGCCCACATCATATACAGCTTGTACTGCTGTCTGGGATTGCTGAAGCTATGGTTCTGTAATTCTGCTTCTGGCAGAGGTCTTCAGCAGATGCCTTCAGGGATGTTGTCTGCTGCAATATGTACCTCCGCGTAGGCTCAAGCAGCTCCAGCCTCTTCATCTGGTATAAAATAGCTAGAGCGGAGATGAGGATTTCACACCAATCTCCTAGCTGCTGATGTTTTGAACATTAGATATTGTACAGTCCTTTTCTCACGTAGCACTTAGTAGAGCACTTAGAGGTGCTTTCCTCCCAGTGTTTTTGGCAAGAGTTTTACCCGTTGTTCTGTCTGTTACGTGCCAGTTGGTTGCTGCCTTCCCCTGCCGAATGGTCTGTGTTGCAGCAGAGCCGTGTATACAGAACAGTCCCAGTCCTGCAGGCTGCTCAGAATAGACCCCTGTACTGAAGCAAAGCCACGGCAAAGTCAGCAAGGTCTAGGCTTTCAGTAGCAACATCAAGGCTGTAGTTTATCCATTAATCTACATTACCTAAAAAGTCTACAGGAATCCATTTTAGTTTGCACTCATAAATGAAAGTGGTTGCTCTGCATTTCATCTAAAACTTGAGCCACCTGACTTTTTGTGAGGCCTTTGTCAGGCTAAATGATTTTGTACTATGTCAGGCTGTGGCAAATGAGTTTTACAATTCCTGTCTAATGCTCAGATGCAAATAGTCAGAAGAAAGTGCAGAAGCCACTTTCAGCGGAAAAATGTTTCCACACCGGGTAAAGCAGTATCAGTAAAATCTATGCACTAAGAAGACATCAAATTCTTGTTGCACTTATATCGCCTGCACAGGCAGGGAGTATAATAAACTAGTGTGTAGCAGCTGTAAATTTTCTGAGGATTTATCTAACCACAAATACATCGAAATGGGGAAATGGGGCTATATTAAACTGTGCAAGATGCTGCTGGAACTCAGCCATTTCTGCAACATCCTGTAATTAATTTATTATGACAGGTCTGGCAAACTGAAACACCCAATACACTTGCGACAGACTGTTATGATATAGCTGTTTGAAAGCTCTGTAGTCACATAAAGTGCAAGTAAAG